TTAGGGTTTGGGGACTTAGGATTTACGGCTTAGGGACTGAACTCTTACAAAGTTCGAGTGCTAAGTGTAGGATGCAGGGTGTTTAGTTGAGATTGAAAGGGCGTTCCGAAGGCGATCCTTGAGTGCAACAAACTGTGGATCTGTTGTCGCACCACTGAATGCCAAGCACAGTTGCCAACTCTGCTCACCCTAGAATCTTAAACCGTGAACCTTAAAGCCCCTTGGAGAAGCCCCTTCAAACCTATAACCTTCACACCCCTCAAGCATTTAGCCAGTTTCCAGCTTTGGACCCCACAAGAGTCGCGCTGAATATCGAATAATGCATTGACATTCCTTTGAGTACGTGGTGGGTCTTGGGGACTTAGTAGGCCACTTATAGCCCCTACAAGCCATGTAGTAATGAATGCCAAGTCACCCTGACGCTGCAAGTAGTATGTGGGGTAGCTGTATGTATGGACATGTTATGTGGACGTATAGGAGACGTAGGGTTCAAGGTTGACTGGTTTCTGCGGGCTCCAGTATTAGGGGAGTTCTTTACGGACTTTAGCGACCTTTGGTGTGGTCATCGCTTGCATTTCTTTGAAAACCCCGAACCTAATGCTAAAAGAGTAACCCAGACCCTAAACCCTAAACCCTAGCAAAGAGTAACCTACAGCCTTACAAGAAGGTAAATACACTATTCTATCATACTAGTGAGTGCATAAGAGGGCTACCATGGCCACCTTCCCACCCGGGTTTAGGGGTTTCGGGGGTTAGACCCAATATGCACCGCCCAACCTTATGGTGAGACCGAAGAAGTCCTAAAAGGCCTACCGAGCGCAATCTTGCCCAACAAGCCTTAATTTATGGGGGCCCATAGTAGCCCCATGGTAAACATTTGTTTGAGGGGTTTATGCGTTCCTATAGGTAGAGCTCTGACCTTCAGACCCTTGGGAGCTAGTCTTGGTGCACCAGGACGCCGACGGTCAGCGCTTGCGTCCCTGCGCCCCTGCAGAGCGCCTGACTTACTTTTTACCCTGAACCCTTAACCTTTCTGGCTATTGGCCAGGAACCCGAAGCCCTACCCTAAAGTGCTTTGTGCTGTTACACCTTTCGGTGTCAAGCCTTGTGATTCGGCTTTGGGCTTGGGATCTTATCTGAACATCTTCCCCTTATTCTAACCTCCTCCTCAGTGCCATAAGCAGCCAAACTTAGCTCCCAGGGCAGATTCAAACAATGGGGGTTGAATCCAACAGTTCGGGCTCAGACCTTTGGACCTGAAGGCTAGAGTTCAGGGTTTCACCTATGGTTCGCCCAACTGCTCCTGTGGCCTGAAGACAGCCCCTGCAACCCGAAAGAAGGCCCAAACAACCCCAAATGAATGACTTCCTTCTGGACCACCGATAGGAAATGCTAGGTAACCCCTATTAATTCCCTACCATGGGTTTTGTGCCCAAAGTACTTGTTACAAAAAAATCCCTTTAGGGCAAACACTTTGAGACATTGTGAGACCCAAACTACATTAGCTTACTATAATAGGGGTATATAGTTCAGGGCTTTAAGGTGTAGTGGCTATACCTTAAAGCCCTAAACTATATACCCCTATT